CGCCGTCGCCGCCAGGCAGGAGTTGCGCGCCTCTGCGCCGGGAAAGTTTCCCCCGCGGCCGCCGGCGGAGTTGGCGGGGTCCGGACGCCGAGAAAGGTAGGGTCCTCACCCCCAGCGCCCCGCAGTGCGCCCCGGGCCACCGCGTGCTGCCCCGAGAGTGCGCGCCCCGGAGGGAGGGGTGCAGGTGGCACGGGGATTCCGCACCCTCCCGGGAATCTCAGGGACCAAGTTCTGCTCAGACTAGCATGGAGAGGGTGGGGTGCCGCGGAGACGCGCTCCCTCGCCCCGAATCCGCGCCGGCCGGCGGGCTTGGCCCGGGACAGGTGCAGCGCCGCCCCGGCGCCGAGCGGTCGCAGTGGATACTGGGCCCGGGGAGAGTGACCCGCGGCGTGGCAGGTGGGGGTTCGGGATTCAGCGTTCGGCAAGGGCTGTGCCCGGAGGGGCGGTGCACCCCGAGCCATCCCGTAGGGGCCCGGGTAGGGAGCGGAGCCGGAAGCCCGCGGAGGAGGCGCCGGCGCCGGGCGGGGACCCTGATCTCGCGCAGCCTGCGGGGGTCCTTGGCGGCAGGGGGGGCGGGGGCGCGGCGCTTTCTCCCGCTCCTCGGTTCTTCCTTGCTCTGTGTGTGCGGCTGGGAGACGCGGAGGCTCTGGGGGTGCCCGGTGGATCTGAGGCTCCGGCCTGTCCGATATAGGGGTGGAGCGGGGAAGGAGTCCCCCGGGAGCGAAGGAGGCCGGGCTCGGTGGGTTCGCGCGCGCTCTAGGTCCTGCTGGACCGAGGGGACTTGCCACCGCCAGGGGGCGCGCTTCCGGGCGACTCGGCCACGGAGGCGAGCTCTGGGTCCTCGCCGGCAAGCGCCCGAAATTCGGGATCACAAACCGCAGAGCCTGCACCCTGATAAACGCGGGGTCCGCTAGGAGGGGCACCCCCGCGTCGCCCCTAAGGAACCCAGAAGGAGATCCAGAGGAGCTGCGTGCCTCGGCTAGCGCTGGGAAGACCGGCTGTCAGGAGGTGGGTTTTCTTGGGGAGCAGTGGACAGGGGAGGAGTAAAAATTCACCCCGTCGGGGTGGGGGTAAAAGACAGTAGCCACAAACAGAGAATTAGTGTGGAGGGTGTGGGTTGGAACTTTAACTTTTCAGGGTTTCCTGAAGTTGCCAAGCCCGAACTGTGGCATGCACCAGGTTCCCAGGACCTGGCTGACCCATGAGTACGTGCGCTGGGATGGGGCCCTGGGGTAGACCCACTCTTACCCATCCTCGCGGGGCACAAACTGGGGGCCCAGGGTGCGGCGAGCAGCTCCCAGCAGAAGTGTTAATTTCTCGGCAGTCACCCTCTCCCTCTTGGGTCTGGGGTCCCCAGGCACGCTGGTCTCGTCACTTTACAGGTACTGGCGGGAACCTGTCGTGGGTCCCCGTGGTCTCGCCTGGGGCCCCCCGCGTGTCGAGTCTGGGTACCTGAGCTTTGGGAACGGGAGGTGGCCGCTGGTTTCTGTGAAAAAGTGTCATTTTGGGCATGTGTGGGGCTATAGGGTACGGAAGGGACGCGCTGGTGACAGTTGCCTCTCCTTTCTGTCTTAATTCCCATCCTCCTCCCCGCGTCCCGGGAGAACACAAACGAGCAAAGCAGAGATCAGGAGGGAGGTGGTCCTAGTGCGGCCGGCGGAAGTTTTCACTCCCCTGCTAGCGGTGTGGGTGCCCCTCCCCCTCCTGGGTCCTGGGAGTCCTCTGCAAAGGTGGTAGAAGTGTGGCGAGTCCCAGAGAGCGAGGTGAGGTGAGTGCAGACTCCAGATGTTTTTGTTGGATGCCACCAAAATGCTCCGGGGCAAAGTTGCTACTGGAAAGATCTGCGAGATCCCGACTTTGAATAGAAGAGGAGGAGGAGGAAGAGGAGAGAGGAAAGGGTGGGGAAGACCCTTGTCCCTGGGTTTGTCTCTAAGACATTCCAGGGGGCCAGGAGACAAAAGGAGTTTTTTTGGTTTTGTTTTGCTTTCGGTGCCTCTTGTTTTCCTGCCTCCAGAGGCCTGCCCGAGCAGCTGTGCCCTTGCAGCCAGCGCCGTGTGCCTGGCCCCGAGGGCTGGCAGCTTCTGGTTTCTGCCCCTTTTCTCCACTCCCCACCCACACCCCACTTGTGCTGACAGAAGAGACCCCAGGCCCCTGCAGATGTCCTTGTGCCAGCAGACTCCCAGGCAAACTCCAAGAGCTCTGGTTCAGCAGAATTCCAAATCTTTGGGTGCTCTGCCCACCACCGCAAACCCAAAATGGGAGTAAATCCTCCAGGAAAGCTCCAGGCCACACCCTAAGAAACAAGTCAGTCTCCGCTTGGGTGTTGGGCGTCTTGGGTTAATTTCTGGATGAACTCTTTTATTTTATTTTATTTTATTTTATTTTTTTGTCTTTTTCAGACAGGGTCTTGCTCTTCAGTTCAGGCTGGCCTTGAGCTCACTTTGTAGCCCAGGCTGGCCTTGAACTCACAACAATCCTCCTGCCTCAGCCTCCTGAGTACTGGGATTACAGGTGTGTGCCACCACACCGGGCCTGGATGAACTCTTGGCTCTGAAAAAAATCTTCTATCAACCTGGAAGTAGCTCCCTGACTTCCTGAGTGCCAATTTAGGGGTGTGGGGGTGAGTTGGAGGCCAGGGTTGGTGGCGTGGGCAGGATTTGTTGGAAGGGGGCCTGGGTAGTGGGGAGAGATTTGACATCCAGTTTTCAGGTCACTCATGTGGCCTGGGGAGAGTCACTTCCCCTTTTGACTCTCCCTCCCCAGTGTGTAAATGAGGGAGTTGCAACTTGAAGTCAGGAGTCTCCCCTTTGGGGTGCTGGCCAGCCCCTCAGGGTCCTGTCTTTGGTCCTGAGAGGGTGCCCGTCCTGGCTGGCAGGGCTTTCTTGGCAAAGTTACAGCAAAGCCCCAGCCTGGGAACTCTGGATTCAAACTCAGCTCCTGTAGGCTTTGGGCTTGTGTAGACAAAACATTCAGCAGTTTTGGGCAGAAAGGGCCACGTTGGTGCTACTTTCTGTTAGGAGCCCCGCCATGTCTGTCTCTGCAAGTGCCTCTCTCTAGATGCCTGGCTCGTCCCCACCCTTCCCAGGAAGAGCCAGTGTTGGGGGGCTGGACCACACATTTCAGGGACCCCTCCCTCTCCAGCGGGTGGCTCTCTGGCCTGATTTCCTCGGCACCGAGAAGGGAAATCAGGAACATTTGTTCCTGCTCGGCTGGGACGCAGCGAGGGGAGGGGAGGGGAGCTTGGAAACCAGCACTTTGGTCCCATGGAGCAGATGATGCTGGCCGAGCTGCAACCTGATGCCACTGAGCTAACGTGCCAGCTTAGGCTCCTCCTGCCACCCGGGCTGCCACCTTGGACCCGCATCAATGCTCCATGTGATGGAGTGGGGGCCCCTAACAAGAGTCTTGGAACAGAGGCACAGTGAGGCAAGGCGCCCCTGGGTTTACAGCTGGCAAATGGGGCTTTCATCTGGGCCTTGTTATCTGATGATCTGGGCTGTGCTTCCCTGCACCCAAGTTTGCTGGGCTAATTAGCGCGTTAAGCAGCTTGGAGATGAGCAAGAACATGCTGCCTGGCTGGGGCGTTGATGTGCGTAAGGACAGGCAGTGCACAGGCCGGGAATGTAGCTCAGCAGTGTAAGCGCCTGCCTGGCAAGCGCAAGGTCCTGAGTTCGATTCCTGGTACAAAAAAAAAAAAAAAAGGACAGGCAATGTGATGAGTGGAAAGATCCTAGAATGAGGAGTTTGAAGACCTGGACCAGCCTGGGCCTCTAAGGGATACAGCTATGAGAGCTTGGCTGAGTCCCCACCCCTCTCTGAGTTTCCCTGTTTCTTTAGAGGAATCATTTTGCAGTGGTTAGACTTAAGATCCGATGTTGGCCATCCTACTCATCAATTTTGTGGCCTTAGGTCACTGAACTTTAGTACCTCAGTTTCCCATCTGTGAAATGGACTGAAAATGAGCAAAAACTTGGAAAACACCAGGCCCAGTACACAGTAAGTGTTCAACTTTGGTTCTTGCTGATATCCTGGGGGCAAGCTGTGGTGTAAGATCTGCCTTGAGGGTAGAAGCCCATGGTGAATGGGCCGATTTCTGGGTGCTTTTACTTTCCCTGCTTCCCTTGAAGGTCTCTTCCTGAGTCTTGTGATTGGTCTCCTTGTAGCCCCATCCCGGTGGCAGGAAGCCCAGGCTGACGTCACTGAAAATACCCTGGTTTCTGGCACTTGAGGGATGATATTTCATCAGCCAGCGTTGCCCTCTCCCTTCCATGCTTCGTTTCCGCCCTTTGCTGCAGTACGAAGACCATATGTGCAGAGGAGAAGTGTAAGCTGACAGACAACTCCCAGATTCACCCCAATGAGGCCGTCCTCTTCAAAGACACCTTTGAGTTTCAAATAAACAATCAGGTGCAGGGGTTGTGCTGCTTTACCTCTGGCTGGCCTGCTCCCCTCTTTATGTTCTGCCCTCGGTCTGCGCGGGTCTGGGCCAGGTCTGTGGTCTGAGGCTTTGGGCTTTATCAACGGTCTGGGCTGGGACGGCCGCCTCCTGTTGTTTGGGAGGGGACCGGCCAGGCTCTTCTCCTTCCAGGAAAGCTGTCGCCCTGAGCCACCCCTGATGCTCCTCATGGGGGCAGACACATTGGCATAAGGGACATCGTCAGTTCCACACAAAGGGGCGGTGTGGCTGTTGATCCATTTTATAGATCAGTGAAGCTCAGAAAAATCGAGAGTCAGTAGTAGTAGTTAGTGATTTGTTCCTGCCCTTCTTGCTAAACCATCACCTGATCCTTCTTATTATATCTAAGCCCCTCGGAGCTCCAGATTCTCAGGAATGCTCCCTGAGGTGTGGCCAGGCCCCCTCTTCCACGCTTCTGATCATTAATGAGACTGAGGGCCACTCGAGACCCCTCTTTGCACCCTGCATGGGGATGCGGAGGGGGAAGGGATCTAATGGGGCTTTGTTACTCCAGGTCTGGGTTTCAGTCTTGTTTCTGCCACCTGTTGCTCTGTGGCCTTGGGTTCCTTGTCTGTGACAATCTGAGTCATAGCATCAGTGACACCGTTGAGCTGAGTAACATTAGCGGTTACAGCAGGTGGCCCCAGGACCTCAGTGGCTGGACAGCAGATTCGAGTCTCGCTAATGGTGCTTCTCTAGCTTGGCTTCTGGCCACAGGGACCTAGGCTGGTGGTGACTTCCCCCTCTTTGTGGTTGTCCCTTCCGGAGCCTGTGACATTAGAGTCACTGCAGGCGTGGATAAGGAAGAGGGGAAAACCGCCCTGGCACGCCATGCTTCAGCCAAAAGGTGATAGGTATCCTTTCAGTTCAAGTGCATTGGTCGGAACTGCACTTTGGTCCCAAACCAGCCACAAGGGAGACCACACATCTAAGGAAGGATGTGGATGTTTGTAGGGTGCCACTTCCTGCTTGGGGGTGAGGGACAAGGCATTCCAGGCTTCCTGTACAGACCTGCCATGTCCTGACCCTTAAAACTTGGAGGTTTCCTTTCTTAATAATTCCTGATGTGTGCTGTGCGTTATAGATTACAGTGATTTCTAGGCAGATCATGTTGCGCTTATAATAGTGGAGGGGGTGAGGTCACAGAAGGGTACAGAGCCAGGCCCAGGACCTTCAGCCCAGGACACCATGGCCACCATTGGCTTAGGAGCCACCACTGGCTCTGAGAACCTTATCAGAACATCTTCCAGAACCTTCTAGAACTTTCCAGAACCTACTGCTGCTTCTGGCTCCTGTTTCCATTTCTAATGGTCGGAGAATCTGTGTGTAGAAGGGTGAGGAATGGGAGAGGGGAACTGTGGGAACTTTCTGGAGCTGAGGGAGAGGGCAGAATGTGACATGAGAGAAACCACAGTTCCAGGTGTCATGGTGAGAGCCCCAGGACATGGGCTCATGTATTCATGGACCTTACATATTCCTGAGAGGCTGCTGTACATTTGAGTCCTGCCCCGCCAGAGCACACGTGGGGTTCCCCGTGGTTTCTGTCCCACCT